CAACTAACCCAATCAGTGGCTTTTGGGGTGTTTTAATATCGAATTCACTCCCATACAGATAGAGATGAAAGTGTTCAGCACCCCATACTACTGCTAACATTTCTCGTTCTGTTTGTGAATATCGCTGTTCAACACTAGATAGTGCTCGGCTAGCGAAACTAACGACTTTCCCGCCTTGGCATAACATGGCGGCTACGCCTACTGGACTTGCGTCTACTACTACTTCTGAACGCTTGGTTGGATCAAAATACTCCTCTGTGCACACGCTGGTCAGTCTATGCTTGAGGTCATCAAGTGCTTTCTGGTGCACACATGTCCACTCCCATTGAGCATCTTTATGTGTAAGTTCACGGAGTGCAGACGTCACATCAGAATAATTTGGTATAAACCTGGATACATATTGTGCCATCCCTAGTAGCGATCTGACTTCACTTGCGCTCTGGGGTACACTAGCATTTACGATACCAGATATCTTCCTAGGATCGGCAGCGATCCCGTCACTGCTGAAAATGTGTCCGTAGAAAGTTACTTGTTTCTGTCCAAACCTGCATTTGTCCTTATTCAGCTTTAAGTTGGCTTGTTCAAGTCGCTCTAGTACTGCTTTCAGGTTTTTGTCGTGCGATTCTTGGGTTTGTCCATACACAATGATGTCATCTGACATGTTTTTGCATCCCTTCAAACCGGATAACACTCCTGATAGTGCATTCTGAAAGATCTCCGAAGCGGCGTTGATACCGAACATTAACCTTTTGTATCTAAACAGTCCAACATGCGTTGAGAATGTCGTAATGTATCGACTCTCAGGTTGGAGTTCCAGTTGATGATACGCCGACCTTAAACCCAGCACACTAAAAACTGATGCACCATTCAAGTCTGTGATCAGCTCGTCGATTGTCGGCATGACATGTTTTGTGCGTTTTACGGCTTCATTCGCTTTCCTCATGTCCACACATATCCGAACCTCATTGTTCTTCTTTGGTACCACCACAATAAGGCTGACCCATGGCGTTGAACCGCTAACTTTCTCGATAACGTCCATTTCTTTGAGTTTGTCCAGTTCCTTCTCGACAGCTTTCCTTACGTGGAATGGAATACGTCGATGTGGTTGTTGCTTTGGCTCCACATTCTCGTCGATGTATAACTTCACCTGTATGTTTTCCGCTTTGCCCATACCCTTGAAGATGTTCGGAAACTTCCCGGCTATCGTCTGCATCTTAGATGTCACACTCTGTGCTACATGTATAATGCCTAGATCTTCAGCTGCTCTGTAGCCTAAAAGGTTACCTGTGCTGCCATCTACAACATGAATATTAGTCTCCACAACCTTCTTGTCATACTGTATCTTGGTTATAAGTACTCCAATAGTAGGCAAAGGGTTTCTTGAGCCATAAGGGTAGACCTTAGTTGAAAGTTTCGCTGTCTATGATGTTCACTGATGCCCCTGTGTCAACAGTCATTCTTACGACTTTCCCCTCAATCTTTACGTCGCACGTTGGCAGCTTGTCCCCGTGCTGTCTCGCACCAAACGTGTACTCATCGTCCGAGGAATCCGACTGATCTGTTTTCACCCACCTTTCAGTTCCTCGTCGCCAGAATATAGTGTTGTATGCTCTTGCCTCTGAACACTCAAGTAAACACGTCTGTTTCTGTTCATCACACAGGCTCAAAGACCCCGTATGTTTTATTCACACCGTGACGTGTTGCATATACAATAGTGTCATAGATCACGTGTTCGTAAACGAATACAGAAAGTAAAGCATAACATACTAACTACACTACAGATACTCCAAGCACACAGCAAAACACCACTAGAGGCTCTAAGAATAGAAATGGGAATAATTTCAATAAAAGATAGAATAAGTTATAAAAAGTTAATGTTATTGCAATATATTATTAAGTTAGAAAACGATAGATTAATGAAAAGGGTATTTTTAGAACAAATTAAAGAAATTGGAAGTAATTGGGCAAATGAGGTTTTAGAAATCTTGAAGGAGTATGACATAAGTATGTCACTTATGACTATTTGTTCGAAACATAAGAAAGAATGGAAAAAATATGTGAAGGAGACTATTTTAAAAACAGTAATTATGAGAGATACCATGAGGTCTGGTGAGAAAACAAAAATGAAAATGATAAATATCGAAAACTATGTATTAAAGCCATATATGACAAAACTGTCATTTGATGATGCATGCCTTTGTGTTTAGGTGTAAGACGTGCATGATTAACTTAAAAAGTTATTTTAAAAATAACTACAGTAATGACATATGTGATTTGTGTGACGAAAAGAAAAAAGAAAATTTGGAAAATTTATACTCGTGTAAGATATATAGAGGGTATAATAAAGTAGTATTAGTATAACGGGTAGAAGATTGGAAAAGTGATGACCCAAAAATACTAAAACCAGCACTAGAATATGTTAGAAAGGCATTATCAATTAGAGATAAATTAATTAATGCTAACTTGTAGACAGAATTTCCTTATCTACAGGATTTCCCCGCACATTCCAAGAGAATCTGTGCCTTGTGAAATACAAGAGAGGGACCCCAAGATACAAGATACAAGATGTAAACATTAGCTGCGAATTAATTATTTGTGTACCTCATTTCGGGCCGAGTTCAGTCATTTTTAGGGCAATTTCGGTGAAAGTTTTTTTGACATTTCAGCTCCGGACTGCTTCTTCCGGTGGAATTTGATGTTCTCATAGCGCCTTTCGGTGTTTTTAGGTGCCTTCAGGTGCCTTGCGGTGCCTTTCGGTGCCTTTCGGTAATTAGACGGACCGAGTCCGCTGCAAATCAGAAACTAGCAATATCGAATTCGTAAAACTTGGTTTTACGAACCGTAAACCCTAGTTTATCGACGTAAAACCTAGTTTTACGACGTAAAACCCGGTTTTACGTCGATAAACTAGGTTTTACGTCGATAAACTGGGTTTTACGGTCGTAAAACTAGGTTTTACGGCCGTAAAACTAGGTTTTACGTCCTAAAACCCGGTCTTACGTCGATAAACTGGGTTTTACGGTCGTAAAACTAGGTTTTACGGTCCTAAAACCAGGTTTATCAAATTAAACTATCAATATCGGCCGATAAACTAGGTTTTACGTCCTAAAACCCGGTTTTACGTCGATAAACTAGGTTTTACGTCCTAAAACCCGGTTTTACGTCGATAAACTAGGTTTTACGGTCGTAAAACTAGGTTTTACGGTCGTAAAACTAGGTTTTACGGTCGTAAAACTAGGTTTTACGTCCTAAAACCCGGTTTTACGTCGATAAACTAGGTTTTACGGTCGTAAAACTAGGTTTTACGGTCGTAAAACTAGGTTTATCGACGTAAAACCAGGTTTATCGAATATTAGCGCAAACGGCTTTCCATACACGAATACATTTGGGGTTTACGAACAACAAGGTTAACGATGACAAATGCGGTGTTGAAAGTGTTCTCTCAGTGATGTCAACTATTAGAAATAAACACACGTACTCTCTGCTGGACGGCGTTACCTTGCACAACCGGCAGCTACTTCTCTCGCCAGTTGTTTTAGCTCCTTTCTACCCACGGCTTGCTTGCTCTCTACACAATCTGCCTGTTGTATTATCTTTTCGCCATCCCCACATTCTTGATGAAAATTATATAGAGCGAAATTACTGGCATATCTAGCCAGATATTGGAATTGCTTAACGTCACTGTTAGTTCAGTCTTTGGTTCAGCCATGTATTTACGTGAAGCAGGTAGGTACCCACATTTCAGCATGCAAACACACATGACATAACAGGAAACATTATGCCGGGCGGTAAAAATGGTTGGCGTTATCCAAATGTGTGATGCAACAGTGTGATGGATCGAGATCGAGGCTGTCAACCATTCTCTACTTTACATATGACGCACTGAAGAAATAAAGAGAGAGAGAGAGAGAGAGAGAGAGAGAGAGAGAGAGAGAGAGAGAGAGAAAGAGCTTGAGATGCGAGAGAGCAGGTATCAGAGGCGCATGCGATATCTGCTCCCATTATTGGAGGGACCTTAATCTATAGCTGTTCACGCTCCCTCGCTGTCCCCCGACCACGCTCTCTCAATAATAAACAATAATTATTGCTTACATACAATAACAATAATTATCTAAGAATCGTTCTCTACGCGAACTCGTGCAAGGTTCATGCAAACGGCGACCACTTTTAACTTGCCAGCGTCGCGCATGTATCTTGGCAATGATCGCTTCCTTAATAACTGGCGACAAGTATACATCATATAATGTACATAATATATATAATATCAGGAGTAGATAAAGGGAAGGAGTGTGACATGAATAAACAAGGGAAATTCGTCATTTACTAGCCTTATAATACCTACGATTTACTACGCGTAACTCATCCAACTTGAGCTCAAATCGGACACAGTACATTCGCCCATCATCGTACCAAATCGTTTCCTCGTAGACACCCGCAATCCGGAGATACAGACTAAAACATACGACACGATTCTCCATTCTTTGGCCAATAAATTCACCAGCATAGGCGCGCTATAATTCAAACAAAAGGCAGCTACTAACCACACTGTCCACGGCTTGCGCTCACGGCGAGGCGCTGTGGCTAGCAGGGTGATTAGGCATCAACGCAACACTCGGCGAGATAACCTTTGACCGGTAGACAGCTACAATGTATGCCTGTATGTCATACCGGCATGCCGGCACGCACGCACGCCAATCCGCTATCAGCAGCAGATCGGATTCAAATCTCCCTGCGAGCCACAGCGCCTCGCCGTGAGCGCAAGCCGTGGACAGTGTGGTTAGTAGCGCCTTTTGTTTGAATTATAGGCGCGCCTATCGGCTGAATTTATTGGCCAAAGAATGGAGAATCGTGTCGTATGTTTTAGTCTGTATCTCCGGATTGCGGGTGTCTACGAGGAAACGATTTGGTACGATGATGGGCGAATGTACTGTGTCCGATTTGAGCTCAAGTTGGATGAGTTACGCGTAGTAAATCGTAGGTATTATAAGGCTAGTAAATGACGAATTTCCCTTGTTTATTCATGTCACACTCCTTCCCTTTATCTACTCCTGATAATATGTATATAATATATTATTATGGATCATAACATCAACTGTGCAAAACGACTAAAAGTGGTCAGTAAGTGTGAAAATACGCTAGAGTAAAACCGTCTTACGTAAGATATCCGTAATATACGTCAAGAGTAATTACAGTGCTAGGTGCTAGAAGTTGATTGAATTCAAAGAAACGACTGTGTGTGTACGGGTTGTTGGCTATGATATAATGCAAGTATCGCTCGGTAGATGGCGACAGCACTGTGTACCACGTGTACCTGCTTCTTCCCTCTTTATAATATTCTTATGTCTTGATAAACAACATTAGATAACGTACACAAAAACTATTTTAAAACTCACAGGCTGCCACTTGGTTGGCACAGTTCATTTGTTATTCTCATACTTCTTAGTTTATAACCTGAAGAGGAAAACAAAGTCTTCTTTTCGAGGTCTCTGTAAATAACTACACGGGAACGAGGCAGCTACACAACGCGATATGTAGCATACGCTTCACACAAAAATGCCGAGTGAGGGTAATCTACTAAATAATCCTGAACCTATTTGAGAACAACACCGCGGCGCGTGTGTAACGAAACAGCTATCACAGCACCGTAGCCACACGAGTTCAAACAGATCTGTGCGCGCTCTCTATCTCTTGCTCTCTCCCCCCCCCCTCTCCTCTCGCACTCTTTCACTCTCTAGCCCTTTCTCTTTCGATCTTTCTCAATCTCTATAGCTTTCTTTTCCCCTCGCTCTCTTTCACTCTCTAGCGCTGTCTCTGTGCCCCGCTATTAAACACACATGCACGCACACACATACGCACGCAGTGACAGAGAGAGACATAATATTATTGATAGCCACTTCTATCTGGTGGACTTGGATTACACCAAGCATTCTGAGTGGAGTTGTTCTTATGAAGTTGTACAAGTCATGTGCATCTCTTTGAAAAGTCAATATCCTATTCCTGCAGACGGTGATTATCTCTGAATTGTTCCAACTTAGAGACCTTCCAGGAGCTAAGGCTGTAGGGTGAATGTGTGCACAGCTTCTGTTCAATTCCTAAAAATTCCTATGTTTTGAAGGATAACCTCCTATATTATTTCCTCTATTTTTGTCTAATTAAGTGGTTAGGGGGTATGATAGTGCTACAGTACGTGTGCAGTAACGAAACGCACCAGTCAATCATCACTCTTGTCTTTGATGCGGCCATGATGCCGAGGCGCTCGCCGAGGATTGACACTTTGTGTCTTCCAATCACAGTCTACGCCGCCCCCTTATCTCCTAACTTTTAGCTATAATACCTATTACGGCACGGAATCGCCGATCTCACGAACTAAGGCATTCTGCTAGGCTAGAACGGTTTCCTACGATAGAGTTTGGCACAAAAACGAAAATAACACGTTGTTTAGCGCACTGCGATAGGTCTTTCTTTTGTATTTTGGCATCTCCGTAAACAGAATAAGCTCCACCTTCTTCGTTGATGGACATGAATGGGGCGTCACCGACGTTACCTACCGTACCTGCCGTTGCTGTGCCTACCGTTTTTCGCCGGCCTATTAGTATTTACTTTTCCTAAATAATGAAATGCCCGGCCGATGCATTTCGCATCGAACAGGACAATTTTTTGCATTTTCACTCGCTGTCGGAAGTCGACGAGTGCGTCATTCATTGAACAATTCAATAAAACACACAATTTTCGGAGGCTAATCGGGGCTAATGTTTACATGCCACAGCGCCATCTCTTGGATGTTTTATAAGTAAATATGGGGATTTTCAATAAAATAATGCGTTTTTATATGTATTTACCACGATTTACGTATAGAAACTATATGTTATTTTTACTGATTTCTCCGTATCTTTCCTTGGAGTTTTGATCGTCTTTCAATGCCTTTCGGTAGGTTTTCTGCGTGATTATTATTTTGCGCAGGCACTCATTTTGGAAATCCTCCAACATTTTTACTTTTTCCTTAGTTAAGTTAGTCCATCTTTCACTGTTATTTAGGAAGGAAGGTCAAACTGTGCATTCGTATAATTTCACTCTTGCTTCTATAGTATGATTTCCATAATTTGGCTCTTCTGCCCATGATAATATTTCCCTCGTCGTGAACCTACATTTTTAAGTTCGGACTCATCATATCGTTATAACCTCCTATATCATTAATTAAATCCCCTAGGTATGAATATTTGGTGCATTTTTTGATTACTTGGTTGCCTATTAAATTCTCTATCCGTTCTTTGTTTGTGAATTTTATAACCATTGTATTTGTTTTGTTCATATTAAATTATAGTCTTTTTGATTCAGCTAATCTGGAGAATGACTGAGCAATTTTTGTTACGGTTTTATAATCTCCAATTCCTACAATATCGTCAATATATAATCATTGTCATCTTCTAAAACTACAGACCATCCGCTGACCGCTGTGGAGACGTGCGCCGGGCCTCGAATTTGGCGCACGTCTCCACTGCGGACAGCGCTTCATACTTCAACATCCCCGCGGTCGCGTGCGCATATCCCGCGGAACTGCGCGTCTCATCCGCGCGCAGCGCTTAGGATCAACAGCAAAGCTGTGCCA